GTCACTTCCAGTAACCAATTACAGGCTAGTTTTCGTCCCTAGGTCTCGGGCCTTTCGAGAAGATAACTGGCGACCGCGTTTCTGGCTAAAGATCTTCAAATGTTGCTTTTATTTCGTCTGCCGTTATGTCCCGGAGTACCTCAAATACTATGAGAGAGCTCCTAAACGGACGGGGAATCCTTAGTTCTAAGTGCTCTGTCAGCACGCTGGACCATTCAGTTGCTTTTTTAAGTTTGTGCAAGTGTGTGGCCTCTTTGCTCCTAATCAAGAGTTCTTTATATCTCGTGGCCCTTACTTTCTGCATGTTGATGCCAATCTTATGAGTTTTGATGTTGTTGAAAACTTGAGTTTTCACATTGTCTGATGTGCGCTCTGAATCTTTACCCTTGATAAGTAAAACGTGCTCAGAAGGCTTTTGCTAGGGAATGGCTGTTGCTTGTGTGGAAGCGGCCTTCTTTTCTGAATCTTACCGGCCACAGTTGCGTAACTCCGGCGATCTTGTTGTCCAGAAGAAATGGTCTTCTTGTATCTCCGGGACTTTAAAACTGTGCTCTCTTGCTTGAGAGAAGGGACTGGTACTAAGTTGTCATTCTAGTTGAAGTATTTGTCCCTCTTGTCGTGCAACTAAGATTTCCTGATTAAAAGCTATACCCAGGATTTCTGTGGAAAATTTCCAAGCCAGTTCCGTCTGTTGTCCACAGATCCCGCGCATTTACATGAGATGATTTATGTCACAAAAATATAAAAGACCTATAAAAGTGTGAATTTCAATTAGAATTGTGTGACAAGCGTCTCTCTTTCTTTGAAAGCTGTCAGAAATAGATGCAATATAAATATTTGTATAACTGACGACTTTCAGCAACATTTGTTCACTTAGTAAAAGTTCCTACGATTCATTTGGAGTCTGCACATATTTTGCCTTAGCGATGTTTCCAGGCAATTTAGTTATAATATTTTGAGGAGGAGTTCTAATATCAGCTTTAGGCTTTTCTTCTGACCATTGCTTTTTTTTGTCTTTTTCAATAAAGCAATAAATGTCATCCTCATTTTCGTTTTCAGAATGCATCTCGATTTCTGAATCAGAATCATGAGAACTAAAACATTCATTATAACTTTCATCATTAGTTTCTTCAATGGAGTCTTCAACAGTTGATACATCTTCTAATCATTTTTTCAAACGTAACATTTCCTCCTTATAGGATAAATTACGCGACATGTTTGCAGCTTTCTGGGCTACCACAAATGAGCTATGTCACAGCAATGCGAATAGGCGCGCTGAGACTGAAAGACCCGATCCGATCAAAGCAAAACTTAGAATCAAATTTCCGGAGGAAAACCTTGGAAACATAGAGAGGATGGCCTTGGAGGGGACTTACACTGAACCACAATCGCTTAGGAAAAATAGGGGTATTTTTCAGAAAGGTTTCTTTAATCGGGCGGGTCTATAGCACCCAGCTTGCGCGATCGCGGGTTGAAGAAATTAGTTTTGTAAAAATACGAAAATTTAACATTTTACATGCTCCTCGGGTAACATTTACCTTTACATTCAGAAACCTCATTTCCTCGGGTAACATTTATATTCAAGAAAATTTTGTACTCGTTTTAAAAAATAAAAAACAAACAATTATTAAAAAACAATAAATTAATCACGAAAATTGATATTAAAACCGGGAATCATATTCCATGGCCTCACGCAAATTGAAGAGTGAAATGTTTGCATGTGTACCAAATGTCTCTTTTAGAAGTTTCTAATGTTAACAGATTACGTGACAAGTATTTTTATGAAAATTAATTATTGCCAAAAAGAAAGATCAGTAAATATATATATATATATATAGTTTAAAATCCAGATTTTATTCAGAGAATCCTATGTAATTCGTGTTCTATAAAACACTTCAGTACATGGTCAACTCGTAAAATTATTTGCATTAATTAGAAAATTAAAAATATTTGTATTTTAATGAATTTTTTTACGCTTACCAGATTACGATTGTAAAGCAATAAAATGAGTGAGAATGAGAAGGTGAGTGGGAATGAGATAAAATGAATGAGAATGAGAAGGTGAGTGAGAATGAGATAAAATGAATGAGAATTAATAAGAATATTAATAATGTACTTTTAGACTGCAATAAGTATTGAAATCGAATAAATATAATTGACCACTATGTTAGTTATAACCGTAATTCTACGCTCTTATTGCTTTCCAGTAATTTCGAGAAGCAGAAAATACTAGAAAGACAGGGGCGTAGCTAGAGTTCCCAGCGCTCGGGGACAATTGAAGAATTTGCGCCCCTTCCTGTATGCCAAGAGTGGAAAACATTTCATTAAAAAATTTTGTTGCATCAATTTGGCGCCCCTTGGATGCTGCGCCCGGGAACAGATGTCCCCCCCTTGCCCCACCCTAGCTACGCCACTGTAGAAAGATCTCGGCAGCCGGTGAAAATTATAAAATGCCAGAGAGACAGCGCCTGAGTTCAGTTGTTTAGTTATTGTTGTAGCAAGGGAAAATTTATTAATTACTCGAGTGAAAATTCTTTCGGCATACCAAATGCAATGAAATTGAAAATAATAACAATGTTAAATAATAGAATATCATTGAATGCTATTTAAAAGGAAAAAAAAATAACCTGGAATGATATATTTATCAACCAGCCCCTCTGTGCAAACTGGAAATTGCGTGAGATATCACAGATTTAGAAATTATCTCGGCCAGTTTTTGTGGTACAGGTGTCAAAATTCTGAGTTTTATGTTTTATAAAGAAATGCAAAATTTTCTTAAACATAAGCACATGGCCAGAACGAATGCATAAAAAGATAGTGTTTTGCACAGACACTACACTATAATAAGTTCGCGAACAAGGACTGCATTATATCACACTTTTATTTTCATTAATTTACATCGGTCATGGCCACTCGAAGCCACGACTTCTCTCCCACGCTCTTAGCTCACAATCTCATGTCACACGTCGGTTTGTTTCGAAAGAACAACTGTTTGGAACAATTTTTCTGCTTTGTCACAACAGCCAATCACCACAGCTCGCTTTGGGGTTAACACAGGGGAAACTGGTTCTCCATTACAAACAAGCTAACAGCATTCGGCGCTGATAGCTGATTGGTTGAAAACGAACAACCTGCAACTTTTTTCGAAAGGAAGGAAAAAGTCGCACGTTTTTTCTTTCAATAGTAAACCAGGCAGAAAATTGTCCGAAACAGTTGTTCGTGTGAAACAAACGCCGTGTGATATGGGCCTAAGAGCTCAAGGCGCATGCGTAGATGCTGGTAATGAGATGCGCGCGCAGGCGCAATAGTTAGATTTCGTGTTTTATACAAATCTACATTTTTTAATTAAAAAATACTGTTTCATGCGTAGGGGTTCGTAATAGATTGAATGCCAAAATCCGATAATAGGTTAATAAAATTTATTTTTATCAAAAGGAATATTTCAGAACTCTGGAATTTTCCAGAGAAATATTTGTACTAGTGTTCACAGTATCCCACAGTATAATCAGTAGTTACACTTAAAACTACTAGCAACATTCAAGCGACTAAACACAGGGCAACGCAAAGTGCATCTAAAGAGAGGGCTAACTCCGATTTATCGCACTTCACACAGAACTACATCTCGCAGCAACAATAACTAAGCAACTGAACACAGACGCTTTCTCTCCGGCATTTTATAGTTTTCAACCGGCTGCTGAGATCTTTCTAGTACTTTCTGCTTCTCGAAATTACTGGAAAACAATAAGAGTGTAGAATTATGGTTACAGCTAACATAGTGGTCAATTACATGTTCTCAATTTCAATACTTATTACGATGATACAGGGACCGGACTAAAATGTCGCCGAATGGTCGCCAAATTTTGCTGCTTTTGGCCATCTCCCGCCAAGTTACCGAGACACACATTAAATGCCCTTGTCCCTGTGTTCTTACTCGTGTGACATTGCTTTATCTTAAAATTTGTCTCGCGCTATATTACACAGAAATTTATAACAATTTAAATTAGAATTCTACTAAAATTACCTATCTAAATACAAAATTCATAGCAATATGAAAGCATGAATCTTGAAAATTTATAACAATTTAAATTAGAATTCTACTAAAATTACCTATCTAAATACAAAATTCATAGCAATATGAAAGCATGAATCTTGAAAATTTATAACAATTTAAATTAGAATTCTACTAAAATTACCTATCTAAATACAAAATTCATAGCAATATGAAAGCATGAATCTTGAAAATTTATAACAATTTAAATTAGAATTCTACTAAAATTACCTATCTAAATACAAAATTCATAGCAATATGAAAGCATGAATCTTGAAAATTTATAACAATTTAAATTAGAATTCTACTAAAATTATCTATCTAAATACAAAATTCATAGCAATGTGAAAGCATGAATCTTGAAAAATTATAACAATTTAAATTAGAATTCTACTAAAATTACCTATCTAAATACAAAATTCATAGCAATATGAAAGCCTGAATCTTGAAAATTTATAACAATTTAAATTAGAATTCTACTAAAATTACCTATCTAAATACAAAATTCATAGCAATATGAAAGCATGAATCTTGAAAATTTATAACAATTTAAATTAGAATTCTACTAAAGTTACCTATCTAAATACAAAATTCATAGCAATATGAAAGCATGAATCTTGAAAATTTATAACAATTTAAATTAGAATTCTACTAAAATTATCTATCTAAATACAAAATTCATAGCAATATGAAAGCATGAATCTTGAAAATTTATAACAATTTAAATTAGAATTCTACTAAAATTACCTATCTAAATACAAAATTCATAGCAATATGAAAGCATGAATCTTTGCGTCATTAAAACATTTCTTTAATTGGAAATGTCTTTTTACTCCCATCGGTCACAAAATTAAAGATCTGGTGAGGAGTCTTGTACACATGGTATATGTGGCATGAGTATGTATGAGTGTTTGTGTAGAAACTGAAAAAGCAAAATTAAAATTGCACGTACTTAGACACTCTTGATACCTCTCTTCGTATCCATCCGGGCAGCTACAGTAACGATCTAACCAGCCAAAAGAACAAATTTGGCCAGGTATCTCACAATTGCATCCTGGAAATATCAAAATTGAAAAATCAAAAGTTATAATTCATACATTTGATATCAAGATTTCAAATTCTTTTTTTAATATTGTAATTATTTAGCTAATTGAACTTACTTTGGCATACACCTTTGTCATCGGCGTAACCCTTGTCACATATACATTTTCTACGCCCTTTCACATACTCGCAGACTTTGCCTCTCGGTCCACAATCGCAGTCTGCAAAAGAATACACTTTTCATGTTGCTTAAACGTTTATTACATTCCACCCAAAGAAAATGTAATGGTGACACTGGCAGTTTTAAGTGATTTTCATACAGAATCTAATTAAATTTTAAGACAGTAAACAAATGTTAAAATAAGTGTTACATTAAGACACAATAACACGCCGAATAAATACTAAGACAGAAGTCAAACAACAAAAATCAGCGTTATATTTACAAAATTTTCACAGGACTAGTTTCGATGGTTTTACCGAACCACCATCTTCAGCTGCAAAACCGCAAATGAACAAGATAGGAAATAATGATTAGATAAGATAAGAAAGCCTGGACAAGAATAAGCAAGTTGCGCCATCTGTTGGCGAAACCAGAATTAAACATAATTTCTCTAAAAGCCGAAGGCAAATTTGGATTGGAATTAGGATCGTTAACTAGAACAGAAAGAGTTTTATGAATGTGAAATGCCTCTAGAAAATCCAGTTCTCCAATGGAAGTTGGTTTTTTGAATAATTTTGGCAGAAGAAAAATTGAAAGTGTGATTTTCGGACCAACAAGGTTGAGCAACAGAAGACTTCTGTGTTTCCTTTTTAACATATGCCTCATGTTCTTTGACGCGAAATTTTAAGGTTCTCTTAGTTTGGCCAATGTAAATTAAACCACACTGGCAAGGAATCCTATAAATACCCCAGGAATTCATATCCGGAATGGTCCTTGAGTATAGAAGTCGGAATTTTATTCATGGGAGAATAGACAACCCGAAAGTTAAATTTCTGCAAAATATGTGCAACTTTATAGCTAATTGATGGAAAGAAGGGAATGACAACAGAATTTTTATAATCTCCTAAAATAAGAATGTGGCTTTTAGTGTGTTGAGATGAGAATTTTTTTAAACTGCTTGATTAATAATGTTGGGCGAAAAGCCCCTGTCAATAGCTATTGCTTTTAAATAATTTAGTTCTTCATCAAGGGCTAGTTTGGAGGAGCAAACTTGAAGAGCACGGAAAAACATAGGAATAAAATGAAGCTAACTTTTGTTTAGTCGGATGACATGATTTAAAGTGTGGTGGAAGGCAAAACCGATGAAGGTTTACGGTAAACCGTTGTACTGAAGTTGGATGTGTTACGTGTGACCAGAATGTCGAGAAACGGAAGAGAATTGCAAGTCTCAAGTTCAAAAGTGAACTGAATAGCAGGATCAATAGAATTCATTGTTAAAAGAACTTTTAAGTGTTACATATCAATAAAACTGCATTTTAGGTAATGCAGTAGTGTTCCATAATTCGCAATCCCTTGAACCGTTTAAATGTAAACAAATAAAATATGGGTATACAGAATATTCAAAATATGGCAGCAAACAAGATATGGATATTCAGAGCATTCAAAATGGGAAGTTGTTTTCACACGTGGGCAGAACTGTTGTTTTATTAGATCGGATCAGATTGGTGCACTGATTGAACTGAATCGAGTTTTTTCAACTCACCATCGTTCATTAAAAATGATCTTGATGAATAATGAAAGGCAACAAATCAAGAAAGAGGACATGTCCATTTTCTAGGAATACAAGTTTTTGGATAGATTGGTTCACATGCCCTCGTGGTTAGCGCATTCGGAGCGTATTTGAGAGGTCCGGGTTCGAGTCCTGTCGAGGGCACTGCGGATTTTTTCAGTTTCCTGACTCCGAAAATTTCTAAAAAGACTTTACAAGAACATTTCATCGAAACTCAGGGCTTCACCTTTCTTTTTCTTTTTCCCTTACAGGTCTATCTCAACTGCAGAAGCTTCATCTTTGGACTTTTACGTACCGTACATACCCGCGTATAAGTCGATACCGCGTATAAGTCGACCCCCCCACTTCGACATAAAAAATACGTAGAAAATAAGAAACCCGCGTATAAGTCGACCCCCACTTCCGAAATCGATCGAGAAACTTCGAAAAAAAAATTTTAAGTACTACATTTATTCAAAATCATCTGAGAAAAAAAAGTAAATATACGATAAAAAATACCTTGGTAAATTAACAAAATCAAAATCCTTCAACGTCTGATTCATGGTCAAATTCGCCAAACATTTCATAGAACTCTTCTGCCGTCATCGGCTCGTCATCATACATATTTTCAGTCTCGAACTCTGTATTGTTACAATCACTACTACAGCCTTCGGCGTCATTTTCACTTTCAAAAACAGCATCATCTTCTGTGCCGTCTAGTTCATTGCTAATACAACATTTTTTAAATTATTTTATAATCATTCAGAGGGTATTTCGCAGGCATTCGCATTTTTCAGGGGCAAAAACATAAAAATTTCCAAAAGTGTCCACAATTTTGGCCACCACTGTAGTTCGTCACATAATTTAAGTCATGAAATTACTTCAAGTAAGTGACTTATTTGATAGGTCGTCCAATTCGAGTGCGGGAAGAAAACAACTGCATTATACAAAGAAATTTTTGAACTTCCGATTCTTTTAATTTTTTATGGCCCCGCGTATAAGTCGACCCCCCCACACTTTGAAGTCTTTTTTTTTGTCCAAAATATCTCGACTTATACTCGGGTATATACGGTACTCCAGGATTCTGAGAGACTCATTCAGGAATCTGGAAAGAGGAGGAATAGAGCATCTCCCGCTGCATGCCAGAGTAACCAACAAAGTATCAAAATCAAGAAACACTGTCTTGTAGCACACATATTTCTGATGCCATACGCAAAGATTTTGCAATGTCTAGAAAACTAAGATGCCTATTTGAGCCGTCCTCCTCTCTGAACCTTGCGCGAGAGGATCTACGCATCTAATCTTGAGACACATTTTTATATATGCCTCGCCTGCTTGGAGTGTTGCCTCTAAATTAGACCTCAATAAGCTGGAAGTTTTCCTGAACGCCTTCTTACGCCGTATCACGGGAGCTCCCATGTTTATCAGAAATAAACACTAATACAGAGACATAAAAGTGGACGATCTCATCAACATCATCATTAAACTCAACATCGATTTTTGCACCAAAGCTATTCACAACGATGATATCCATTACGCAGACAGCTTTAAATACGAATTAATAGAAATGTACATCAACCTAAGGACCATGTCCTCAGAAATCCCATCCTGAACAGTAACCCCCCCTCCAACTTACAGTCATCTTATATTTTAGATTTTCGTTATACGTAATTATTATATTACAATTTAATTACCTTGTTTTACATTGCTCTGAATTAGAGCTGCTGATTTACATATCGTAGCCTAGCATCTCTCCGAGGTCAGAAATGCTTACTTGCAATATCCGGACGTTTAACTTCTACTTCACCAATCCATCCCACGTGACCTCGTGACTCCATGTCTTTTCCAGTCACATGTGATTACGCTCTACAGTAGCTTCCTCCCTCTGCAATCTTTACCTTCCTGAAACTAGAATCTCTATTGCACTTAGTTAGTTATAGAACTTCCTAACTGGGAAATATCTGAGGTTTGGTTCGTGCGGTAACCTCAACCGGGGATTATTTGAGGTGCCAAAAGGAGCAGAAATAATTCTAGCTAATGCCGGCAAAGACGAAAGCATCAAAACTGTCAAAGAATCAAGAAAGCTTGCAAGGATGAAGCGAAGAGTAAAATGAATAGAACGAGGAGTAGGATCGGGATAATTCACTCAGTCAGATCGTTAACCCCTGTATTGATTTCATTCAACTTCAGTTTCGAGATTTTGTAAGCTCCTTTCTGTAAGACAAGCTTCTTTCTACAATGAACTAACAATAAAATTTTGCAGTAAGAAATATTCAGAAAGTTCGGTGATGATATAAATTAAACTCACTTTTAACATGGAAAAAGTTTTTCACTCCTACAATGGGAATCGAACTTTCCTAGCACCTTTCAACAGCATGCGTTTACTCGAAGGAACTACCAATGAACGATTCTTTGAATGAGTTTGAGAGCAGATCGTAAATCCCTAAGGTATATGCATATAATTTTGTAAACAAAAACACAATGTATTTGTAATATAATATACAGGCAAGAGGTGACAAAAACAATGTCGCATAAATCCAAAATCAGTTTGTTTATTGCATTGGGATTTGCATAGCATTCAAAAAACTTTTTTTTTTTTTTTTCTATAAAGACTGGTGTAGAATGGATTTCATCACTTTTAAATTTCGTTCTGTAGCGTTCGTGGGACTCAACTTCTTTAGAATTCTTTCTGTAAGAGATTATGGAGGAAAGTATCGAACCGAATTAGTCCTGTATTCGTCGTTTCCAAAATTTTTCCTATTCTCTCCAATTAGGATTAATTTTCCTTTATTTGTCTTCTGCCCTAAATTAAGTTGAAAACGAGCTTAAGTTTAGCACTTTCTTAATACTTTAATTGCATTCCATTTAAACATTTGTTTCAATAATAACTGCTATTAGCGCAAAGAGTGTTAGTCAAGAAGGGCTATTAATTTCGTTTGGCATTTTGCGTCGAATCACTATAAACGGCATATCACTTTTCAAATTGTTGCCACGAAGTATTTTCTCCCTGTATTATATTTAAAGAAATTAAATAATGAAGAATCTGCATAAGTGTATGTGTGTTTCTCTCATTGTGATAAAACAACGGTACCTAGAGCCATTCAATTTTGAATAACGTAATCCTCCACCCGAATATGGGAATCTGGAAGCCAAAATTTGGAATTTGTTTTATCATCTATTTCATATTTTGTAAACCTTTAACGGATTTTTTACTAACAAACTAAACGATATCAAAGCGAACAATGGCAGCACTGTACGTGAAGAAAACTTTTTTACATCCAGGACTCGAAACTGTGTATCGGAAAAAAAGATATGCTTTTTTTTAATTATTTTGTGATATGGCTGTTTAATTGAATATTATGGTTTAAATGCTAAGAACAGGATATTCAATAAATAAAGGTAACACACAAAACGTTAAAAGAAAGAGCCCCAGTGGCTGTAATAGAAAATTTAAAAACTTTTAGTTTTTTTTTTTTTTTTTTTTTGCTTGTTTTAATGAATAAGAATGTCAT